TATATATATAAAAGAAAAGAGAAGTGGGGTGCAAAGAAATTGGTGTTATTGAGGTTTAAAGTGGTGACGATGAACAAGAGGAGGAGAAGAAGATAACATGGTCACTGGTTGGATTGGGTTGGATTTGTTCTTCTTCCAAATTCCAAAATTCCAATTCAATTTAATTTTAATTTGTTGGGAAGGTTTTGCTGGTAAATGTCGTGTACAGAGGAGCAGCAGCTGCAAATAGCAATGAGCTAATGGGGCCCACCACTCATTAGTGGTCCAAAATCCAAATATAGACAGAGCTGGATCCTCTTATCCAAATGCTTTCTCAAACAAATCGTTTTCAAGAGGGCCTAGCACCCCGGTGGGCTTACGACTTAGCCCGGCCTATGACCCTTGAGGCAGCTCATGAGCTGAGTTGGCTCAACTCTTACAGAATTGTCAAGCAGTTTTGGCTGAGTAAGGTTTAAGGAGTAAAATTGCTAGCTAAATATGTGTTAAGAAATAATTAAGATTTATTCATGCCTTTGCAACAGCAGACAACAATGTCAAAATTTGCAGTGACTTTATATTTCTAGCAGTACATGGTGAAGACCTGGAGCGAGCAAACTATGGCTATTAAGATTTTTCTTGTAATTTGGAGATGGAATCATAACACAGATCCATTGCCATAAAACATAATCATTGCAAAATAAACTACTAAGTTTGATTCTAGATTCTGGCATCCTCGAGATTTTGATCATTCCCATATGTCTATAAAACTACTAAAAATTGGGCCCAGAGGCCAGATTCTAATTCGGTTTGGGCTGCAGGACATCCCCAAATCCGTCTTAGCCAAAAGGACAAAAGGTTGGATCTGTTTAAAGGACAAGAAAGATGGTTAGGCCCAAGGACATGACCGATTTTTTATGCCCAAAGCCTGTTCTTTTTATTTTTTTAATACCGATATTACCCTCTAATTTCTTCGAACACTTTCATTTAAACCCTTCTTCTTCCACTCTCTCTTTCTCTCTCTCTCATCTTCCTCTTCTGCTTATCTACAGTAGCTATGACAGATGTTACTGAAGATGCAAACGACATCGATAAGCTCTATGAGTATGGCGAACGTCTCAATGAATCTAAAGACAAGTCTCAGGTTCTTTTTTTATCTAGGGTTTTTAATGTTCTTCGAATGGTTTTTTGGTTAGTGAAGTTTTTGTCTTTTTAATTGTATTTTTGAATGATTGTAGAATGTTGAGGATTACGAAGGAATAATTGGAGCTGCAAAGGGAAGTATAAAGGCTAAACAATTAGCAGCACAATTGATTCCTAGATTCTTCAAGCATTTCCCTAGTCTTGCCAGTCAAGCTGTTGAAGCACATTTTGATTTGTGCGAAGAAGATGAACTTGGTGTAATTGAATAACTTGTTTTAGGTTTTATTGCAAAAATTTTAAGATTTTGGATTCTCTTATACTCTCTTAGTGTATGAATTGTTAAAAAGTTGCAGTTTTGCTGCCTAATGTAGAAATCACAAGAAATTGTTTACAGACTTAAATTAGTACAATTTGTTTACATTAATTAGAAATTTTACGGAAGTAGCATACTTTGTAAGAGCACATGCATATCTAATCTACTAAAATGTGCTAACACTGGTGGGGTAGATTTCTATTAAAGGTGTTCTGGTGAATGTTTTGACTTATGACTATAGTCGGCAATATGATCCATAGTTCAAATTTCAAAATCCTGACAAATTTACACGAATATCCGGCGAATTTATCCGATTTTCAGGATTCGGATATACCGGATTTCGCGGATATTCGTGGATTCACGGCTTCTCCTTTGATTTTCAGTGTCGGTATCTCAGCTAAAACCTATTTGAGGTTCGAATATTCGCTCGAAATCGAGATTTTGAACTATGATATGATCTTAGAAGTTTCAATGTTGGATTCAATGTTGAGAAATTTTCCTGGCAAAGGAAAATACAATGTTGCTGGGTTTATGTTCTAAAATGGTTTGACTTGTCACTAAGAAGGGTATCAATTAGTTATTTAAAATTTTAAGCATAATAAAATATAGATAATTCAAGTACATGAGGTGGTCATTGACCCAATGTGACTTTGCTAAGAGAAACTAACATTAAAATTATCCCATTGCAGTGGTAAGGTTGTGTGCATTATCGATTTCCCCTTATTCTATAGCAATTGAGTCTTTTTTGCAAAAAAAATTCTTGGGCTAAGAAAAACTTTTATTGATAAATAATTAGTTAACATCTGTGAAAACCTTTTGAGGTGAGTGAGGCCCTCACACTCAACCTAGTACACAAAATACATAAGGAAACATGATATCAGGAGTTCAGTAGGGAGCCAGGGAGTTCCAATTGCTGACGAGTTCAGTGCGCTTGTTTGTTTGCACTTTGGTGTATGTAGACATTTTCTATCTAGGGTTTTAGAAATTCAACACATGATGTTTATCAACTTTCTAATCATATAAAACATTTTATTCTAAGTTTTTATCACAATTTTTGTTTAATGTAAATCTTTTTGTTTGTAATTTTTATCCAGGTATGTTCCATGTTGCTTTTGCTGTCGTTGAGAACGAAAATGATGATAATTGGTCATGGTTTTTAGAGCATTTGAAGGATGTTATTTCGGCTGAACGGGAGATCACTTTTTTATCAGATCGTCATTGTGGCCTGCTTAAAAACATACCTGAGGTTTTCCCCAACTCTCATCATGGATATACAGTATCTACTTATATCTTCTCTTGTCGTCCTTCGAAGTTATAAATAATGAAAAAGTAATAATCAGACTCAACACAATTTGGATTTTATGTTCATTATTGTAACTTAGTTATGAAAAAGTAATATTAATGCATAATCACTTTAGTTTCATACTTTCATTGAAATTGTTTAATCCTAAGTCTTTACTAGGTTTTTATGTGTATTTATACATGTTTAATCTTTTTGTAGAGATGGCGCAATCGAATGTTTTAGTTGTTATTGTGCACGAAGGCGTGACAGTTTCGTGTCGTTAGGTCAAGCGAGTTTGTTTTTGAAGTTGAAAGTGAAGCCAAGCGATACTGTGTTAACCTACAAATCAACATGTGTTCCTGCAACGAGTGGAAGGTGTATAAGTTTCCATGTGTTCATGCAGTTGCCTCTATTCTATCAAAAGATGAGCCTCTTTACACATATATAGATTTTTGTTGGTCGGTACGTGATTTTCAGCAACAGTATAGTCATGCAATACAACCAATTTCCAATATTGATATGCCAAGAGTAGTGAATCAAGATGCTGGCTTGATACCACCGGATACATCTATAACAGCTGGAAGGCCAAGGACAAAAAGGATTGAAAGCTTCGGATCAAGAACTACAAGGCTTATTTTTTGTTCAAACTGCAAGATACTTAGACATCACAATCGTAGGACATGCTCTTATGATTCAAGTCGAAACTAGTTTGTTTTGTTATTAATAATTGCAAAATTACTATAACATGATGTTTTGGAGTATTGTTTTTAATTTTTAGTTTCAAATACATTTTTTTAGGTGTGTTTTGAAAGTTTTTTCTTTCGATCGTTGCATGTTCTGAACTATATTTGATCATCATGTCATCAGAAATAACTGTAGTGATCAGCTTTTGGTTTTTTCCAATTGAAAGGATTAACATAGCTGATCACATGATGTGATCACATGTTGTTATCTTGTTTATTATGGGTGATCACATTATGTGATCATGTTAAGGTTTTATTCCAGTTAAGTAAAAACTGATCACATTATGTGATCATGTTTACCTTAGGTGATCACATCATGTGATCATGTTTACCTTAGGTGATCACATCATGTGATCATGTTTATATTTGTTCCAGTTAAATATGAACCTGATCACATCATGTGATCATGTTTATATTTGTTCCATTTAAATATGAACCTGATCACATGATGTGATCAAGGATAACATAAGTATGAATCTTTCAGTTGAGCTAAAGTTGATCACATCATGTGATCATGTTTACCTTAAGTGATCACATCATGTGATCATGTTTAAGTTTTGTTCCAGTTAAGTAAAAACTGATCACATTATGTGATCATGTTTACCTTAGGTGATCACATCATGTGATCATGTTTATATTTGTTCCATTTAAATATGAACCTGATCACATGATGTGATCAAGGATAACATAAGTATGAATCTTTCAGTTGAGCTAAAAAGCTGATCACATTATGTGATCATGTTTACCTTAGGTGATCACATCATGTGATCATGTGATGTGATCATGTTTATATTTGTTCCAGTTAAATGTATGAATCTGTCAGTTGAGCAAGTATGAAATTGATCAACCTAATCACATGGTGTGATCATGTTTAGGTTTGTTTACATAGATGATCACATGATGTGATCAGCTTTTATTTCACTTAACTGGATAAAAAACTAACTGATCACATGATGTAATAAAAAATAAACTAACTGATCACATGTTGTGAGCAACTTTATAAACAAAAGAGAAAAAAAATGATAAAATAACCTCCTGA